CACATCCTCTTGAAATTTCCTGGAATATTTCACTGAAATTTCCAATCTTTCATTTTTTCTTTCTTACGTTTGCCACCCTGGCCTGCGTATATTAATGGTGAAACTATATATACCAGACTACAGATCTCGGTTTGTAATTTTGCAGAACTTCTTCATTTTTTAAATGGGAAATTATACTGCTACTCGACGTCAATTGTCAAAAACTTCCATGATTTTTTTCTCTGTGCGAAGTATACTTTGTGAAAATTTCAAAGAATAGTATTGATTTAGTCTCCGTCAAAGAAATAAATTGGGAGTAGAGATTTTCAAACATAGCAAACGAGGTACGAGCTGTGGCAGTTTCATCGTCTTTATGCTGTAATTAAATCTTAGTCTGAAGCATAGTGCAAAGGAGATGTTAGTATGTAAAGTTGCCCAACTAAGTGTCCAGAGCTGTGTAGTCACATGTCTAGCGGGTACAGGTAGGTACATAAACATATGCACCTATGCTTGCGGATACCCACTATTGCTCTGCAACTACACATTCATGGTGACTACTAACCGGTGACCACCTCGCAACTACCTTGCGAATACACTGCGCCTACTGATGACTACCCTTGACAACCATGTGACTACACCGCGACTTCTTACATATGCACACGACTATGCTGTGTATTCGCAGCATAGTCGCAGCGTAGTCGTCTTTTTTACCAGGGAAACAGGTTAACACGCTAATTGTGAGAGGCACACCTTATAGAAAACTAAAGGGCACGGATCTCCTTCCTTCAGTGACAGACCTGATTCCACATAGTGGTGTATCCTCCTATCTTTGCGGCTTACCTACGCTCACACGGAATCAATTCGTATCACTGGAGGAGCTGTTGATAAAACATAGTTGACGAAATACCCTGAAATTCACCTACAAAGTGAAAATCCAAGTATTTGGACAACTGCACCTACCGAAATAGAGTGGGAGAGCGAAAATTAGCAAACTGAAATATAAATACTAAATGATGAAATACTAACAGGGAAATGAAGAAAGACTGAGAAATACGTTTCACTCAAAGACATATGTATTTTAATAAATACATATCTTAAGTGCAGAAGGCACAAAAGAAAAAGATAACAAAATATATAAAAAACAAAAGAAAACATGGACAAAAAATAAGAGAAGGAACTACCTACGTCAAGGCTTCTGTTCGTAATATTGTCATAATATTGACACAATTTTGGATATCTAAAACTGCTGAATTGATATTATGCTAAAATTATTTTTACAACATTCTGGTAATATTCGCACTTAAACACTGTCACAAGATTAAGAAAATAACCATTTAAGGCTTCTGTCTGCAATATCGCCTTAGTATTGGCGCAATATTGGGCAAACAATATTCCTAAAATAATATTATCCTGACATTATTTTTTTCATATTGTAGTAATATTCGCATTTTAACATCGCTACAGTATTAAGAAAATAAACATTTTAGGCTTCTGTTTCTAATATTGTCATAAGAGTAATACAATATTGTGCGCGGCGAGCACAATTCGACCGCGTTTGCTATTTCCGCCACCAGGGCGCGCTCGCCGCGGATTTGCCGTTGCGGTCCCTTTAAGGGCAAATTAAAGGGCAAAAACTGCGACCTTTGCTTTTTGACGTAATAGGCACATGATCCATAGGCGCCTTACCCATCTTACCGATATTCATAGGCCAAGGGCTCAAATGGAGCCTTTTGGCAACGGTCCGCGCGCGGCCGACCCGTCAGTGGGGCTGGTTCTCATTTCGCCTGGGCAGTGCCCGTTGTGGGATCCAATTAAAGTGCTTAAGCCAGTGAAAACAGTTAAGGAAGTAGCTGGCTTAGGTAAGTTCCTCGGCACCCCTATGTTCCGTGTGCCTACCTTAGCCATTGCGACCAATACGACGTCAAGAAATTAACTCTGCGAGGATGGCAGGTAATACGGCGCTCTATCACCTACCTTGCCTCAGAAAACGTTTGTCTTAGGTATCTCAGATACCTAAGACAAACGTTTTACCAGTATAGAGGCAATTCTAGTACAACAAGTCTAAGCCATCGTTATGATCACAATATTGGTAGTACAAGCTTGGAATAATGTTATTGACCTAACATTGCCACAATCTTAGAAATCCAAGCTTGTCTCCATACAATAATAAGGCTACGCCTATAGAAAGGACACTCTCGCAGATTTCATGACGAAGAAGAAGAACACGGACCTGGAGCTCTTGAACTGGAGCTGGCGGGTATTGTTTACATTCAGAATGAAAATGGTGGCAATAGCCAACTGTAACACTCTAACTGTAGCTGATCACATCTGATTTTATCAGTCATCTGGCCAGCATGAGCACGACGAGGCTGTGGAAATCGTTTCCGTTACATTAATTTTGGTACTCAAACTCTTTTACTCTGTGACGGTGACTTTTACACTTACAAAACATTAGACTCTTCGTTGGCACCACTGACTACATTTCGCAACCCTGCAATTAGCTGGGCCCTACTATTACATTTGACAACCTTGCAAAGAGCTGGCGGGTTCAGAAAAGTATAGGCAGAGACAAGAGACCCTCCACTGGCCTCCTAGCGACAGGTGGAAGCTTTTACTTTCGGGGTTTCAACAATTCCTTATGGACAATTATTAGCGAGCAACAGTCATCACCCTATTTTCGGCTGTTGACTTACCTACATGGTCGATGATGAGCTTCGGATGACTTCATGAGCCAAACAAGTTTCCCAAACGTCGGCCATTTTCGGCTTGTTTGCCAAACGAAACTGCCAACACGTTGTTAACCATCAACCATGTAGGTAAGTCAACAGTAGAATGCTGAAGTCCCGAAAGTGAAAGCTTCCACCATGGCCAAGATACTAGTGGAGGGTCTCTTGTCTCTGAGTATAGGGCAACGGGACCTAACCAATCCTGGACACAGCAGGCGAGAGTCACAACGGCCACTTACGCGAGTGTCCCTTCTATAGGCGTTAGCTTTATTATTCTATGTTGTCTCAGAGGTAAAATAAATGTCCTGCCAACATTATTGCAATATTTTTACAACAAGTCTATGGCAACATCATGATCACAATATCCGCTGAACAAGCTTGGAGCAATATTATTAACATAACATTGTCACAATATTGAATATCAAAGTTTGTCTCGGAAGTAAAATAATGTCCTACCAATAATGTGGCAATATTGTAAGGATAGGCTTGGAGCAGTTTTACAAACCTAACATTAGCACAATCTTTGGGCACAAGCTTGTATCAGAGGTAAAATAAATGTTCTGCTAACATTCTGGGAACAATAGCAAGATAAGCTTGGCAACTATATTCAAATGTGAAAAAATGTCGTACCAAGCTTGTGCCAAGGTCAAATTTCCGATTGGGATGAAAAGTCCTGTTGAGCTACTCGCCCAATGTGGGGGAAAAGTGATTTATCATGAATTTTATCCCATCACCGCCTATCGATTTGATCATAGTCCAATATGCTTCGGAACCGACGTCTCTCCCTGCTTTCTTTATGAACATGATCGCGGTTTTCAATGCTTTTGAGATTTTCAGCTTCTCAAATACTGTCAAATTCTCTTTGATTAGAGGTTTGTTCAGTAACTGTTCAAGATTATGAGAAGTGTTGTGAGCAGACACGGCGTGTACCTTTGCGATGTTAAATACATGTGCAATTTCTTTTTGGATGAATACGATCTGATACGCTGGTGTCTCATTCAGAGTGAAATTGCCCAGCGAACGGTGGTCGAAGTCAAAACCGGAGAATAAAGATCTGAAAACGTTTATTAAAGTTTCTAAACTCGCCTTTTCGTGAAGCATATATGCAGGCGCGCGAGTGTTGAAACGATCGGATATAATTTTGTTAAAATCGGAGGCATCATTATTTAAATTATTAAAAGAGCCAGCGAACCTATCATAAATCTGTTTTGTTTCATCTAATTCATTTTTGAAATTTCTCGTTAGATATTCTTTTAATTCCTTATTCGGAATTCGCAATAAGTAGTAATTTTCTGGTGATTGCATGTCCGGTTTTGCATCGACATATCCGACATGGGTCATAAGAGTCCAATAAGACTCTTCCGTTTGTATCAGATCCTCAAATATTAAATCGTGGTACATTTTTTTTCGTAATGACCGTCCACTCAGCAGAAAATAGAGGTCTAGCATACCGAACTTGCCTGAACACTTAATAAGGTGTCTGATCCTCCTCAGAGAGCCTGATTCTGCCCAGTAATCATCAAACACACCATTATGAATTGCTGACACAACAGCATACGGGTTGAATATGACATTACCGGCATAGTGATAGCCATCATACCATTCTTCAAATCCTTCAAATGTTAAGTTTGTCCCCGAGGAATCAATCAGCCATTTGACCTCGTGATCCAAAAAACCGAAGTAGGGTCCAAATTTATAATCATCAAGGGTGGTGTAAGCCATGAAATCCGGAAGATCAGAAAAAATGCTATATTTTGCTACATAGGTAATCCCAATTATTACACCGCAATCAATAGAGATTTTTAGACCATCCTTGAAGAAAAACGAGTAAAACTTCCGCATCAAAATCACAATTCTTGAATAAAATTCACCAAGAACGAAAGGCTTCCCCTCTGCAGTTTCTGATATTGCTTTTTCAATTGCCAATTGAAATGGCGCATCATATTCGTCGACTAAGACAGCTATTTTGTAACCGTTAGCTTGGAGTTTCCTTATCATTAGGGAATATCCACGCAGAACTATTTGAAGGCCTCCGTCCTTATCGCGTGAGTAACCTTCTAGCCGTTCTTTTTCTCTTGGTTCAAGAAGCTGACCGTACTTGCCCGAGATTTTAAATAGATCGTGTCTTAGGTATGAAAGGAAGCTGTTTTCCAAATCCAAAGCCGTAGAGGCGACGGAGACACTCAGCAAACTAAAATGAAAAACAACATACTTATGCTGATGTTTCATCCTCATTTTTTCGAACTTTGTATCGTTCTGGATACTAAAACCTGCAAAAAAGTCCATTGCTTCTACCTTTTCATCCTTGGTCAAGAAGGTTTCTAGCATTGACAAGTTCGTGGTTTTTCCAAACCGACGGGGTCGCGTAATCAGCTTCAGTTTAGGTCCTGTAAGTGCCTCCCCGATCCATGAGGTCTTGTCCACGATGAACCTGTTATCCGTGACCATTCGTGGAAATTCATCGTCTCCATATGGTACCCGGTCCCTCAAGTCATGCGGATGAGCCTGAAAGGAAGAAGAAAATTTATTAAGGGTAAGTAAAGAGCAGTGGCGTACGAGAGAGGGGCCAGTCCCTCCCCCCCCCCAACNGCACCCCCCCCCCCCAGAAATTCTGGATTGTGGGAAAACACCTTCGTCGAGGATGATTATCTCTCTTATAGAGTCTAAATTGAAAACGCCGTGTTCATTCACTTAGTATTTTCTAAAATTTTCACCATGGAGGCCTGAAAATTTGTCCAAGTAGAGTTAAAATTTCAAAAAAATTCAGAATCTATTCAACGCGACAATTCGGGCGCATTATTTGCTGAAATTACGTAAAAATAAACTAATTTTTCGGCAGAAATTGATGAAACAGTCAGGGGGCATACGTAATCCCGTGTGCAGATTCGTGAAGGCATATTGTGTGATACATCAATCTCTTCGTTTTGATGTCTAGAAAAAGAAAATCGATGATGGCCATCTCAAATTTCATACAACCCCCCCAAATTCAAGATGGCGGCCAAAATGGCGGTTTTGGGGTAAAAAAATTTAAAGTTTGTAAATACGTCGTGTCGGGTGTCGTTTCTTACGTATTTTTGATCGTAGAATCCGAATTTTCAGTCAAAAGTTAGCCCAAAGGTCATTTTTAGGCCAAAATCCAAGATGGCGTCCAAAAATACCTCTTACGGGTACTAATTTGCCTACTCGGGTCTACATGCATTGTGAGGTATCAATTATTAGGTTTTCAGAGTCGTAGAGTCCGAAAATGAGGTCCATTTTCCGCTGCGGCTCTCTAGAAGCCCTAAAATCAAAGATGGCGCCCAAAATGGCCGCCGGTCTTGCGGATGAAACTGCCATTTAAGGCAGCTATAACAAACAAAACGTTCAAAATTAAGTTTCTTGGGTCAAGAAGTTCGAATAGGAGATCAGATGTTTACTCCTACAGAAAATTAAGCCTCCGAATCGAAAATCGCTGCCGACATTGTTGACAGTTAAAGGCGCAGACCGGTAAATGACTGATATTAAGAGATTTGCCGAAGGAGGGGTTTCGATAAGGGCCGTTGTTGGGCCCATACCCTGAAATTCTTCAATTTCACGATTGTTTGCTCATTTAAAGTCTAAAGTTTGCGGAATGTATCATGATTTGGTCATTTCCGGTCTATTTAGGGGTCTAATACCGGCCTAAACATGAGACTAAAGGCCGATTTTGGCGAAAAATGCGGGTTTTTTT